CCTCCTCTCTCGCTCCCCCTTTCGCCCTCTCCCCCTCCTCTCCTGCCTCTGCTTCTTGCCGCCGCTTCCCATTTTCCAGAGGTTTCCACGGAGCGCCACGGCGTGCGCGGGCGTTTTCGTTCAGCGCAGTTGCAAAATCAGTGGAGACGGCAGCAGCTTGTAGCTCGCATGCTTCAGTTAGTCGACTATGTTGGCTTGCAGGGGGCGCGTGGCGCCCGCGGGCGGGAGCTTGCTTTCGCCCCGCACGGCGGCGCTGCAGTTTTTCGGAGCCACCTCAGCAGGTCGCAGGCCGGTATGCGCGCTGATGGTAGCCCAGAGTTATGTCAAAGTATGAGCGTCGCGATTGGCATTTTGTCGAAGGGTGCAGGGCCGCTGCGCTGCGTCTCCAGGGCCTTGGGGGCATTCTGGATATCTGGACTGTTTAGCTCGATGCTCGGTCGCCAGCCGCCAAGCCGCTTAGTTTGGAGAAGATTGCTCGCAGTTTCACTGACAAGCCGAAGGCATGCTCTGTCCTTTTCGGGGATTTCCATTGCGCGAAGCCCGCGCTGGACCGTCCACAGCAGCCCTCTGGGCAGTGGTCTGGCCAGACGAACGCGGCCGAGCGAAGACTTTTCAGCTTCCAGTTTCGTGCCAAATTTGACATGGAAGAGTGGTCGCAGGACTCATTTACACGGCCAGGATCGCAAAATCTCGGACCGACAGGTTTTATTGCATCAGCATCGTGGCGGACTCCTGGACGAGCACCTCGAATGCCCGGCGTTGCCCCCCCCCCTCGCCTGTCCGCGCATAGGTCTGTCTATTCTGCTCGCCGCAGTGTCTCGCGAGCACGCGGCGGGTGCGACAGTGCCGCCATGCGCTTAGAAGCAGCGGGCCACCCAGATTTCTTGCATTCGCCCAGGCAAATTTCGATCGGGAAATGCGCCTCACCCCATGGGCTCCGACAGTTGACGACATTGACATCTCGACGGTGGCCGCGCGCCGTGCGCGCGGTCAGCTGTCGCGGCAATCCGGACTTGCAGCGGCGACCACTGCCGGCGATGGATTGCAAGCTGCCGCGATTTTCTCCGGGCCCTCGAACAGCAGAGGCCTGGCAGGATTGAGCTGTGCTTCGCTTGGCAGCCGCATCTTCGCTCTTTAGTCTTACTTCGCTCGTTTGTGCCAAATGCTCTGCGGTGCCATTGCGTCGAACTGGCTCGCCAGGAAGTGTGGGCAGAGGGGGGGTCTCTGAAGTTGCGCCGGGGCGCCGCGCCAGAAATTGAAGTTTCTGCGCGCGAAGAGCACGTCCTGCGCAAGCTGCAGCGCCTACTTCCCGCAAGCGGTTCATCGTTAGCTGCGATGGCGTTTCGTGATATGAGCCGTTTCTACGTGGGGCCCCGCGGGGTGGCCGATTTGTTGCGGCAGCATCGGGCAGCACCTCCCCTCGTCATTCTGTCGATTTCTCGCGCGCTTGGCGCCCGAGAGAGACGCGTTCGGGCAGCCGGGCGGGTCTCGATTGCGAGGGCCCCCGGTGGGCAGCTAAGGATCGAGCGCGTAGCTGATGCAACTCGATCTTCTTCTGATTCCGCCCTGGGGCCGGACGGCGCCCAGCGCCGCGCTGGGAGGCAGATCGAGCAGTCGGCAGCGCCGAGTCTGCATGAGGTGGCCGCGTTCTTGCAGGGCGCGCGCGCAACCTTCCCCCGCGCGAGTTTAACTCGAGTTGTTCGCCGCTGCTTGCCAGACAAGGCAGCCGGCTACCACTTGCCCGGGCCGCGGTGAGCAGTGCGCGGCCGACAAGACGAGGCCGTTGTCTCTTCTGAATGCAGACGATCGTTTGGTTGCCACTGCCTATCGCAACCTTATGGAGCCGCTGGCGGGGAAAATCATCTCCCCCATGCAGCGCGGCATTCTGTCAGGTCGTTCTCTGCTTCGCTATGTCTGCGCCGTCGACCGCGAGGGCGCGCCGGCAAGCCCATCGGAGAGACGCGCGCTGCAATCGGTCTCTTCGATTTTGAGGCTGCCTCCCCAAGTCTTTCACAATAGTTTATTTTAGAGGCGCGGGGGGGATTCGATTGTCGCCTGAGATGCGCAATATCGCCCGCTGTCTCCGTCGGCACGACACGCGCGGGATCAAACTCAAGGGCAATATTTTCGGAGGTTTCAAGATGGCCATCGGCGCCCGGCAAGGGTGCTGGTTGCAGCCTTTGCTTTGTCTTGGTCACGGACTTTTTTTGGTCGCGGGCGGGCGCGAAATCGCAGTCGCCGAGTGAGAGGTCCGGGCCACGGGCCTGTCGAATTGGCCACGCGCAAGCCTAAAAGCTAGCGGCCGAGCCTTGGTCACAGACGCGCAGCTTCGCAGAATTCAGCGAATTGCCCTCCAGCCCCGGCGAGAGCCTTTCCGGGCGATGACGGCGCAGTGGTTCGCGACTGGCGGCGCGGCGCCCCGAGCGTTCTCCGCGCGCGCAGAGAGTTTTCTTCGTTCTCAGGCCTTCGTTTGAATTTGATCAAAACCGCCACGGTTCCTTCGCGGAGAACTACGGCGCCCAGATTCCGACGCGGCGCGCGAGACATGATGCCCGACTGGCCCGACCCCCACGCTGCAACCAGCGCCGCGCGCCTTGGCTTCGAGGCAAGGCCAGGTCGTTCCGAGGCCACTCGGGCGAAGGCCTTTGCTAGGCGTGCAAATCGAGCTCGCCGACGGGCGGAACGCGGGCTTGGATTGCATTTTAACGCGCAGGTGTACAACGCATTATTTGTTACATGTGTTTCATATACTTGCCACTTCTGTGAGCCAGCTGCAGAGGTCCTCGCCGAGGGGGCGCTTGCCCTCGCTCGGCTTCGGTCGGGCCCCGGTGCTTGACGGGGCCCCGCGTACATGTGCAATTTAAGAGAGCTCTGATCGGATTGCCATTGGATTCCCCCCCCGACCCCGCGCGGGCCGCTAAACTCCGGGTCGCTGGCGCGGATGTCACGGGCTTCTTTTCTTCGGCAGCGCAGTTGGCAGATGCGCAATTCGATGACCTCTCATTGGCAACGGCCGCGACATGAAGGAAATTTGACGTTTCACATGTCGTTTCCGCTTTGAAGAGAGACGTTGACCTGGCTCACAAGACCCGCATCGGTCCTGCCGCCGCGCAGAGAGAGCTGCGCGCAGCGCTCCGCGCGCACCCGGGCAGGCGGCTGCAGGTGGAACCCCGCTTCCGGCATAAGCTTGCGAGGCGGAAGGCTTCGTCGCCAATCGGCGTTCAAGCAAGGCGGGCGCTTGCAATTTTTGCCCGACTCTACAAGCTACTCCCCCCGCGGGTCGCACCCGCGGCTTTCAGGGCCCACTGGAACGGCCGGTGCACCGCGACAAGATTTCAAGAAGACAGGGTGTGCTGCTTCAGTTGCTCGAGCCCTGTTCGCGACTGTATTGAACATTGCGCGTATTGTCCGTTCCTTTTCAGACTAAAAGCTAAGTTTCTGCGGCTCGCAGATGTTCGCCTGGACAGTTTTTTGTGCACGGGGCATGCAGGAGACGCGACCCTATCGCTTCAAACTCTCTTAACGCGCTCTGTTCACAGTGCTTTGAGCCACTTTCGCGGCAGACCTACGCCGACTGCCAGGACGGTAAATGATGCTCTCGAGCAGTGGTGCAAGACGGGGGCTGCAGGGCACGCTGCTCTCACTCGCATTTTCGGTTCGAGGTGTTGCTAATTCGCTGATGTTTCAATTCGTGTGTTATTTTCTAACGACGCGAGCGGAACTTCCGTCTCTTCCACTTTTCTCTTCCCCTCTTCCCTCCCTCCCCTCCCTTCCCCCCTTTGCTTCTTTCGTTCTCCCCGTCGCGTGTCCGCGACCCCTTCCGGCAAGGAAAAAGGAGGCACATGTTGTTGGCCAGTTGCCCGTGCCGCTGTTTCAGTTTGAGGCGGCTAACTAACGCACTGTAGCCGGAGACCGTGTGTATGCAAACTCTTCTTGGCCCGGAAGCCTTGCCCAGTTCTAAACCAAATTCTGTGCATCACACCCCATGCAGCCCTGGTGCTGTGATTACTGCTGTCAGCGCGCGCGTGGAGGTAGCAGTCGCATGCGGTTGGCGCGAACGTGCGTTAACCAAATTATCCCCCCGTGCTTTGCTTCTGGACGGTGTTTGGTTACCGACACCGTTTGGTTCAAGACAGCGGACCTTCAGCATAGAGTCGGAACAACGAATTGATGGTTATAGTCCTTTTCGTAGTACTGGAATTTGTAGTCGTAGTGGTATTAGCAACAGCAGCAGCAGCAGCAGCAGCAGCAGCAGCAGTAGTAGTAATAGTAGTAGTAGTAGTAGTAGTAGTAGTAGTAGTAGTAGTAGTAGTAGTAGTAATAGTAATAGTAGTAGTAGTAGTAGTAGTAGTAGTAGTAGTAGTAGTAGTAGTAGTAGTAGTAGTAGTAGTAGTAGTAGTAGTAGTAGTAGTAGTAGTAGTAGTAGTAGTAGTAGTAGTAGTAGTAGTAGTAGTAGTAGTAGTAGTAGTAGTAGTAGTAGTAGTAGTAGTAGTAGTAGTAGTAGTATAGTAGTAGTAGTAGTAGTAGTAGTAGTAGTAGTAGTAGTAGTAGTAGTAGTAGTAGTAGTCGTAGTAGTAGTAGTAGTAGTAGTAGTAGTAGTAGTAGTAGTAGTAGTAGTAGTAGTAGTAGTAGTAGTAGTAGTAGTAGTAGTAGTAGTAGTAGTAGCAGTAGTAGTAGTAGTAGTAGTAGTAGTAGTAGTAGTAGTAGCAGTAGTAGTAGTAGTAGTAGTAGTAGTAGTAGTAACAGTAGTAGCGTCGTCGTCGTAGGAGTAGTAGTAGCAACAGCAGCAGTAGTAGTAGTAGTAGTAGTAGTAGTAGTAGTAGTAGTAGTAGCAGCACCGATGGGACACATATGACATTTGATGAGTAGATGGGCTTCCTCGGTAGCGTAGTCCTTCCTGCGGTTTATCACCCGTTTGATGCATGCGTCTGGTGTTCTTCGTTGCCGTCAGGGGGGCCCAAAGTGCGAAGAACGTCCACAGAGTTTGGCCCTCGATCCAGGAGCTTCGCGAGGAAGAGCACGCGACGAACATGGATGCGATCGCAAAGGCCAATGAGGGTCTGGAGGCCATCACGGAGGCTCCTTCCTTCCTTGCGGGGGAGGCTGGCAGCAAGCTTGGGCGGGCATGCCCGCGCCGACTTGGTGGAAGGAGGAGGAGGAAGAGGAGGAGAAGGATGTCGAGGTCGAGGCCGACTAGGGGGAGGATGTCGAGGTCGACGGCGGCGGGGAGGCGGGAGGTGGAGGAGGGTCGAGGTCGAGGAGGATGACGAGGAAGGCGAGGACGACGAGCAGAACCAGAATTGGCAGAGGAGCCTTTTTATTCCCCATACCTGCGGAGGATCTGCAGGTGGATGGGGGAGAAAAGTGAGAAAAGTGAGGAGGAGAGGAGACGAGAAAATGAAGGCGGAACGGGGCGGGCGGCGGTCACTGCAGAAGGGAAGCAAGCCACGATCAGAGCAACACGCACCACGACGAGGACCATGCCAACGACGGCGGCGACGACGAGACGCGCTTACGATCCGCATCGCAGCACGGCAGTCTAGAGAAGGCCCACCCCGCCCGCGAGGCCTAGCACACAGCACAGTGCTGATCGGCGCTGCTCACCTCGCTTGGCATGGAAGTGAGGACAAGGAAGCAAAACAAATTTTCGGAGTGGCCAGAGCCACGCGTGGAGAGGGGCAAGGGACAAACCCCGCCCGTCCCCCGCACCAGACACTAATCCCCCGACCATGTCGAAGCCTCGGGCATTGCACCGCCACAAACTCCGTCCTCGGGGCGGATGCGGAGGAGACGGCGGAGGGGGGCGGGGGGGATGAGGATGATGAGGAGGAGGCGGTTGGGGAGTGAGGGAGGGAGGGCACCAGGAGCCGGAATCGGGGCAAGAGGAATATGATCAGCGGAATGAGGGCGAGGGTAAGAACGAAGAGGACGCAGGAGGGCTGAGGTGGAGGATGGGGAAGTGGGGCGCTCCGGAAAAGGCGTCGCCTTCGAGGATCGAACGAGTTGGCATCTCTTCCTCGGCGGCAGGCGGTGAAAGGCAGTCGGAGGGCATCGGAAGTAACAGGTTGGCGGCTTCGCCAGCACAAGGCCGGCGGAAGTTCGCGGAAGTAAAATCTACACCCGAACGTACGGCATTTTATTCGAGATCTGATGTTTCCAGAGCCCTCCAGAAGACTCGTCTGTGGCCAGGCATTGCCGAGGTATTTTTGGGAGCAGACGATAGTGACACTGGGGAAACATCTTAACAAAGTGAGGGGGCCGAGCGGTATTACGCTTCCCTTGGGTGCGTGGCTGTAGTGCGCTTTTGCGGTGCGTCTCGTCGTCAGTGTTGCCAGCCCCCGCCCCGCGATACATCCGCGACCCACCCGCAACCAGCCCCGCGACCCGCCCCGTGAACTGCCCCGCGAAATGCCCTGCTCGCGGCTTGCTTGTTCAAATTTGATTCCGAGTTTCGCAAATTGCCGACGAACCCCCGCACCCCTCCCTCGTATCCACAAGTGCGGGCGTTAGGTACGTCCATCCGATGTTCCTGACATGAAGAGTGCTGGTCAAGGAAAGCATGGTAGTTTCAGGCACGTTGGGGAGGAACAGGAGCATGTGGAGGAGCAGGACGTCCTTTGACGAATCGAGAGCAGCTCGAGGCGATCGTCATCCTGAAGACATATTACAAGCAGGCCGCGAAGGCCTTCCTGCAGGCCTCGCCGGTGGACGAGGACACGCAGGAAGGGACTGCCCGTGCGAGCCTTCCGCCTCGGCTCCTTCTTCTTGTGGTTCGCCAGATCCCGCCAGATGTACAGTCAACGCGCATAGTAAGGACAAACGACTTTTTCAAGGGTACCCTTGGGTCCTTGCCTGCCTCAGCCTCTGCGGCCCGTCCCTAGCAATTTTCGCAGGCCAGTTTCTCAGGTTCCCTAGGGGTTTGGCCGCCTGCCGCCCAGAATACTTCAACTTCGGCCTCCAAGGGTCTTGCGTCCTTGCCACGCGTCCTTACTATACGTTTTCACTGCACTCCGATGTGTTCCATCAGCGATGGGCTTTGGATCGCGTGGGGGGGTGAGGGATGCGCCGTCCTTCGCGGGGCGTGGGGGAACGAGATCCCTGGAGGGGGCGGGTTCGGCAGGCGTGGGGGGCTGGAACGGCGCGCGGCCTCTCGTCGGCGGCGAGCGAGGGGGGAAAGCGAGAAGGAGAAGGCATTCTCAGAAGGCGGCGGGACTTCTCAGAAGCCCTCGCGCCTTCGGAGGAGGTGTCTGCGTCTTCGGGGAAGGCCTGGGGCACTTCTCAGAACGCCGGGGGACGTCCGAGCCTTCTGAGAAGGCCCGCCCCTTCTCACTTCCCCCCCGCGCTCGGCGCCAATTTTGGGATGGCTCTGCGGGGAGGGGGGGGGGGGGGGGGCAGGGGGGGGGGGCAACCCGCAACACGCAGGCCGCCTGCGCCAGTCATCAAGAGGCACAACATCGGAGCGCGCCTCCACCTCCCCTGAGATCCGGCCCCGCGCAACAACTGCAGCATCGCGCTGAAGTTACGAGCGGAGCCCCAGACCCCCTCTTTGCGCTGCTTCGGCTTGGGCGCTACAGCGCTGCATCTGTAATTAGTGCAGCAGCGGCCTTCGCCCCTCTCGATTGGGGTTGCGGATCTGCTGCACGATCGCTTTCCACTTGGCTCGTGATGCGGACGACACGCGCGCGAGCGAACTGCGCGTTGATGCTGTTGTCATCGCGCAGGATCGACCTGTGATGGTCCCAGGGCCGAGAGCCGGGCGAAAACGCTTATGGTGGGGCAAAATTCTGCAACGCCTGGACCAGGGCCTCATCCGCTCTCAGCGGCCGCTTCTCATGGTGCTCCATTCGTGCAAGCGCCGCTTGCTACCGCGCCGCCCGCCGTAGCTTCGACCGCGACGATCCTCTTCTCATGCAGATTTCAGCTTAATACCCTAACAACAGCAGATGTGAAAGAGGCAGGGGACAGGGGTGAAAGCACAGCTACGTGCACTTCCGTGTGTTGTGAAAGCCTTGCGGCCGGTGCCGCCGACTCTGAAGGCTGGACCTTCCCCGGGACCCCTGCTGGCGCCTCCCTCCGGGACCCGCTGGGATCCCGTGGGGGGGCGGCCTTCTGACTTGGGATGCCCCCCCACCACAGGCCCCGGGACCCGCCAGGACACGGACACCTGGGGAGGGTGGTAATCTGACCGGGGGGGACGCCTCCCCGCACCCCCCCCCCCCGTAATTCCCTCCCCGCGCCCCCCTTCCCTACTCCCTACCACCACCCCCCCGTCAAAGAGGGGATACAAAGGGAGGCATCGACTTAACTACAACGTCTCTTTCCTCTATGCGTTCCCTCTCGTGGGACTGGCGACGACGACGACGACGACCACCAAGAGGACGACAGCGCCTCACTCACGCCGAAGGGCCGGCGGACTTTTTACAAGGGACCGTGGCCGTCCAGACCAGAGGTGCAGCCGGCACCGGGCGGTCCAGGGCTCCTTGCCCCCCTGGGCGGGACTCTTCCGCGGCTCCTTTTTTTTTCGCCGCGCCACTGCCCCTGGCATCGCTCGTACGTGTGCATTTTTCCTCGGCGAGGACCATCGAGGAGTATCCTTGATCATTTGGCGAAAAAGCCACGCACGAAACCGAAAAAAAAACATGGAATGGACGTCCGAGCGATGGCGAGCTGCCAGGACCATCCCAGCGCAGCGCCATGAGGGAAACAAGTCCAGGGAACAAGCAACGACAGAAGCATCACAGCTCCGAGGTCCGTGCGGATTTCTCGGATCGGCGCTGGACCCCCCCCCCTGGCGCGCTCCGCGCGCCAGGGGCGACGCTAGAGGCGCCGCCAGGGAGCTCCAGCGCCGATCCGAGACAGCTGCGCGGACCTCTGAGTTCTCGGCTCCTTTTTTTTCACCACGCCACTGCCAGAACCCTCTAGCGCTACGCTTTGAGGGAAACGAGTCAAAACCCTGTAGCAAAGGGGGTTATGAGGGGAGTTTTCGAGGAGCAAGTAGTGGCATACGTTAGCTGGCGAACGAATTGTTCCAAGTGTGTTCCGTCTTGGACCGCCTATGAACCTGCATCCATGCATGCATGCATGCCCATGATCGCACTACCAGGTTCATAGCGTTTACTTTTCGCAGTTCTCATCCTCATCCGCGCCTCCATCACCGCCAGCATCGTCATCATCGTCAGTGTCGTCACCATCATCGCCGTCATGAGGCGCACCATCATCGTCTTCATCGCCATCAGCGAACGCATCACCATCGCTACGTACCGCCATCATCGTCACCATCATTACGTTCCATCACCGCCACCATCGCCCTCACCGTCATCACCGCCATTATCACCACCATTGCCGCTTTCTTTTTACCTAACAGCGAAGACTGATAGGTTTCTAGTTGACTCAAAAGAGCTCACAGATCACTCCACAGGGGGGTCCGGGCAGGTGTTGGGGAGTTGCCGGGCGGCAGGGTGCCGGGCTCGTTTTTCACCAACAGTCACACACTTCGTGCTCTTCGACTTCCCAGAACTCCATTCCCAGGCCACATTCTCAATACCCGGATGCAACAGTCACACACTTCGTGCTCTTCGAGATCCCAGAACGCCATTCCCGGGCCACATTTAGAATAACCGGATGCAACAGTCACACACTTCGTGCTCTTCGACATCCCAGAACGCCATTCCCGGGCTACATTTTGGATGCCCGGATGCAACAGTCACACACTTCGTGCTCTTCGAGTTCCCAGAACTCCATTCCCGGGCCACATTCTGGATGCCCGGAGCCAACTGTAGGCCACTTCCTGGTCTTCGAGTTCCCAGAACTCCATTCCCGGGCCACATTTTGAATAGCCAGACGCTTCAGGAATTGCTAGTGACACTGCAGTCCACTGCATTCAATCGTGCCACTGCATTCACTCACTGCAGGAGGAGGAGGAGGAGGAGGAGGAGGAGGAGGAGGAGGAGGAGGAGGAGGAGGAGGAGGAGGAGGAGGATTAAGAGGATGAGTTAGGATGATGAGGACGAGGGGAGGGGAGGAGGAGGAGGAGGAGGAGGAGGAGGAGGTGGGGAGACAAAAACCCATGGGGAAGGAAGAGTAAAACTAGAGGACCACCACGAGGGAGGATGAGGAGGAGGGAGGAGGAGGAGGAGGGGAGGAGGAGGAGGAGGAGGAGAGGAGGAGAACACCAACGAGGAGGAGGACACAGACGAGGAACGAGAACGAGGGGCTACCAGTGAAGAGAGGAGGAGGAGGGAGGAGGAGGGGAGGGGGAGGACTACCAGGAGGAGGACTGAGGAGGGGGGGAGGAGAAGGAGAGGAGAGGAGGAGGAGGAAGAAGGAGGAGGAGGACGAGGAGGAGAGGAGGAGGAGGAGGACGAGGGAGGAGGGGAGGGGGGGGGGGAAGCACCAGGAGGAGAGACGAGGACCAACCAGAGATGATGAGAGGGAGGATGAGAGGAGGAGGCAGGAGGAGGAGGACGAGCAAAACGAAGGACGAACCGAGAACGAGGACGAGGCAAAGAGGAAGAGGAGGAGGAGGAGGAGGAAGAGGAGGTGAGGAGAGGAGGAGTCAGGAGAAAGAGAAGGAGGGAGGAGGAGGAGAGGAGGAGCAGAGGAGGAGGAGGATGAGGAGGAGGAGGAGGAGGAGGATGAAGGAGGGAGGAGAGGAGAGAACACCCCGAGGAGAGGACGAGCGAAGACGAGGAGGACGAGAACGGGGGCGACCAGGAAGAGGAGGAGGATGGGAGGAGGAGGGGAGGGGGATTGGACTTAACCAAGGAGGAGGATAGGAGGAGGGGGAAGGAGGAGGAGGAGGGGAGGAGGAGGAATAGGAGGAGGAGGAACGAGGAGGAGAGGGCGGAGGAGGACGAGGAGGAGGAGGGGGGGGGAGAGCACCAGGAGGAGAAGAACGAGGACCACCAGAGGTAGGCGGAGGAGGAGGAGGAGGAGAGGAACCAGGAGGAGGAGGACGAGGACGAGCAAGACGAGGACGACGAGAACGAGGACGAGCAAGAGGAAGAGGAGGAGGAGGAGGAGGAGGAGGAGGAGCAGGAGAAAGAGGAGAGGAGGAGGAGGAGGAGGAGGAGCAGGAGAAAGAAGACGAGCAGGAGGAGGACGAGGACGAGCAGGAGGAGGAGGAGGAGGACGAGCAGGAGGGGAGGGCGGCCGGCTGCCCCGGCCGGCTGCCCCTGCCGGCTGCCCCGACCGGCCGCGCTTGCGCCCGGCCGCGGAGCGCGGTCAAGGGAAGGGGGCGGGGGCCGGCGGTCAAGGTTGATACCCCCTCCTCGCTCGTTCCACTGCCTGCTCGCAGCAGTGGCACCAACACATGCACAAGAGATTCCTGCATGAACTGTTGTACTTGCATATATGATGGCCTTCGGCCAAAGTCGTGCGCACAAGGGCTCTGCGGAAGGCTCCCTAAGCTCGAGACGCTTTGAATGCTCTGTAGTTTCCTCGTAGCCTCCTTTCCATGCCTTTGTAGCTTCCACGCACTCCTGCGTCGCCGAGTTTCTTCTTGCAGCGTCCTTGTCGTGTCGCGGGGTGCGTTTGCGTCACTTCGGTGTTGCTGCGCCTTGAGACGTGTCTCTGCTGCTTCTTCGTCTCATCGGGGACTCCAGCGTCACCGAATTTGTTCCCGTATTGTGCTTGTCGTTCCAGGTCGTGCGTACGCG